AACTTGTTGCTAAGGAGCTCTAAATGGTTGCTAGGGCTGGGCTTGATAGCTTCACAATGATCCTGAGAGACTGATTGGCCGTCTGAGTAAAATGAGCCCGCCCCTTTGTCTCTACGACACTGTGATCCAGAGTTATGATCAATATAAAAGCGGTTTATATGGTGTAGGACGGCCCATGAAATGTAAGTCAATGGGGCAACTTTGGGCCGCTCCTGCCCCCCAGGGGTGTAACTTTTACCCTATTGTGAGGTATGTTCTTACAGAGCCTGTCAGCCTCTTCAAATGTGGTAAATTACACGTTTCTGTGACATCCTTGTTCCGAGCTACGACTCGTCAAAGTTTGATACAATGTTAAGTCTATTAAGTCTAAGGAATTTTTTTGGCCGGTTTTTCGCCCCTGGGTCGAACATCGTACCCCCGATCCCTTAGAAAAGTCATAGCACACCATTCCCGAACAAGCTGCACGTTTTGACACCTCATTTATGGGTCTGTGACAAAAGCTGCGGGAGGAGAAGTGTGTCGAAATTTGTGTAGAAGAAAATGTGAAGTGGTGCTTGGCAAATCTCACCACCTGGTTGCCAGGGTGTTCTGGGTGGTTGCTAGGCGGTTGTTAGGGTATTCTGGGTGGTTGCTTTGGTGTTGCTATGCGGTTGCTAGGGTATTCTGTGTGGTTGCTAGGGTGTTGCTTGCAGGGCCGTATTAAGAGCTCACTGGGCCCCGGGGCTATGAGTTACTGCAGGGCCCCCCCACCACTTTAGGTCACCAACTACATGAGCTAAATGTTATATTATTATACGAGTCATTTTATCCATCTATGATATCCTTCACAGTTAAGTTATGTTACTTTTAACACGATTTTTTTTATCATATCAAAATGTATTTGTGACTAAAATTTCATAATTATTGTGACCAATTTCAATATCACCAAAAATAATAGTAGCTTAAGAAAATAATCTCAAGCTTACTGATGACAAGAGTCACAAATTAAAAATAGAACAAAGGCACAATAAATCGACTTATGTAAAACTTTAAGCACTGAATAATACTGTATTATATTATATAAAGTAATCAAATATACAATAGCCTACATGGTTTTCACTATAAATTCAACATTCATTCTTGTTAATTTTGCAAAAGTAATTCAGTCAAATACAGTAACGTTAAATTACTTTCTTTCTGATGTTTGATTAACATTATTGACACACATGGCGACAGCATCTTTATTAGCAGCGTCTGTCACTTTGAGACCTCAGAGTCGGATTCAAGTGCGCTGTGCAAAACCGTCTCAAGTTCATCATGGTCTCAAAACCAGCATTTACAAAATGAATTCTCTCCCGCTGCTCACTGTGCCTGAGCAGTTTGAAATAATTTGTATCCAAACCACCGTGTTTAACAACGCGTTTAAATGATAAACTTACATCGATGCGCAGGAAAATGTAAATATTTCTACCGGATATCACGACAAGACGTGAAATAATCACGTTGGTCCACTTTGGAAAACGTGAAGATGTCACGGTTTAACCCCCTCAAACGTGAAACTTACACGTTTGACCTATTCTACACGCAATCGCCTCTGCCATAACGACCTATTGGTTTTCATTAAACCGAGAAAAAATGGAATTTTGTTTTATTGACGATCACTGAGAAATGTTCTATTAATTAAAATGCAAAAAAGTATTATTTTCAAGGTGAAAATGATTCATTTGCCTTGATCCACGCCGAAAAAAATGTCAAAATGTCACGTTTTAATGAAGTAGCCAAATGAGTAAAACGTCTATTTTTCCGGCGTCCCCCAGCTCCTCGTTTAAGCAAAAGGTTCGCTAAAACAACGAATTGCATCGACGTTAAACCACGTTAACCGTGTTAACCATAACCTTTTAAATACTCGACCTACCGTTGCTTAGCAACGGGAAGAAACTCCTGTAACTTCAGTGCCGTTAGCACCTTAGTGCTTACAGATCATAGACATATACACTATGCTGTATATGTCTATGCTTACAGATTAGGAGACATTAGTGTGTTCGCTGCATTTGTAATGTTATACATTTAAAATAGGTTAACATCCGGGTATCTCTCCACTGGAATGTGTTAACGCAAACGTGTAAGTTTCACGTTTGAAGGGGTTAAACCGTGACATCTACATGTTTTCCAAAGTGGACCAACGTGATTATTTCACGTCTTGTCGTCATACCGGGTTGGGATATATTATCGCCAGTCCTTTAGGCGAATATAGAGTTTAATCAAACACAAAAAGCAAAATTATACATCCATCAAGTTAATATTCAAACTTACCGAAAGTTTGTGGGGTCGATGATGACGCTGTGCTTTAAGAATAGACTAGAATGAAGTGAAGAGTAAAGGCGATTTATTGGTTGATGTATTCTAATAAGGCGCAGGCAGCCATCATCTACAGGCCTACTTGCAGCAGCAGGTCGATCGTTCACAAGTTAAATATAGAATAAATGTATTTGTCATATCAAATTAAAACCTGACGTTTCAATTTTGCCCTGCTGCCCACGGGGGTTTGATTGACAGGTGGCCTGGCCAATCATAACGCCGAATAAGCAACTTTGTCCGACAACAAAGCTTCCAGTAATGTCGGTGGATATGAACTTGAAAACGGTATTGTTTAAATTACTTAAATGACAATATTTGAAAGTTGAGACTTTGTTTCATATCATCAGTAAGCTGCTTTGAACTCTCTCTCGTAATCACTCGGTGTAACGTTAGTTTTTGCCCCGCAATGTATTTTTCACTGCGTGAGTGCATGAGAACATGATATGCGTGACTCATGAGACCCGCCTGGCTCGTGGCTCGTCTCATACTAAAAAAGGCGGGTCTTTGCGAACGTCTCTATTAATGATAATGATTCCATGATAATGCATGGAATATAACAAGGGAAAGTGCCACTAAATAACAGGGCTAATTTGTGGGGGACGTTGCGTGGTAAGGCTTTGGTAATCAGATGGCTTGCTGTATCTGCTCCACAGCCAATCACAGGCCCCCTCCTTGCTTGGGCCCCGGGGCTTTAGCCCCGCCTAGCCCTATGGTTAATGCGGCCGTGGTTGCTAGGTGGTTGATAGGGTGTTCTGGGTGGTTGCTAGGGTGTTGCTAGGGTGTTCTGGGTGGTTGCTAGGGTGTTGCTAGGTGGTTGCTAGGGTCTTCTGGGTGGTTGCTAGGTTGTTCTGGGTGGTTGTTAGGGTGTTGCTAGGCGGTTGCTAGGGTGTTCTGGGTGGTTGCTAGGGTGTTGCTAGGTGGTTGCTAGGGTGTTCAGTTGGTTGCTAGGGTGTTGCTAAGGTGATCTGGATGGTTGCTAGGTGGTTGCTAGGTTGTTCTGGGTGGCTACTAGGGTGTTGCTAGGTGGTTGCTAGGGTCTTCTGAATCTGGGTGGTTGCTAGGTTGTTCTGGGTGGTTGCTAGGGTGTTTCTAGGCTGTTGCTAGGGTGTTGCTAGGTGGTTGCTAGGGTGTTCTGTTGGTTGCTAGGGTGTTGCTAAGGTGATCTGAATGGTTGCTAGGCCGTTGCTAGGGTGTTGCTAGGTAGTTGCTAGGGTGTTCTGGGTGGTTGCTATGGTGCTCTGGGTGGTTGCTAGGGTGTTGCTAGGTGGTTACTAGGGTGTTCTGGGTGGTTGTTAGGGTGTTGCTAGGTGGTTGCTAGGTGTTGCTAAGGTGATCTGGGTGGTTGCTAGGCGGTTGCTAGGGTGTTGCTAGGTGGTTGATAGGGTGTTCTGGGTGGTTGCTAGGGTGTTCTGGGTGGTTTCTATGGTGTTGCTAGGCGGTTGTTTGGGTGTTCTGGGTGGTTGCTAGGGTGTTGCTAGGCAGTTGCTAGCGTGTTCTGGGTGGTTGCTAGGGTGTTGCTAGGTGGTTGCTAGGGTGTTCTGTTGGTTGCTAGGGTGTTGCTAAGGTGATCTGGATGGTTGCTAGGTGGTTGCTAGGATGTTGCTAGGCAGTTGCTAGGGTGTTCTGGGTTGTTGCTATGGTGTTGCTAGGTGGTTTGCTATGGTATTCTGGGTGGTTGCTATGGTGTTACTGGGTGGTTGGTAGTGTTCACATATGGTTACTATCCACAAGTTTTCGAGGGGCGCTCCTGTAAAAAATAAAGTGGGTGAAACTTCCGGCGAGGCGGCGGAAGTAGCATTCCAATGGTATTTTGTGTGTTAGTTAGCGAAGAGGCTAGCTGTTTTTCAGAGAATTATTTTACTATTTAAAGACGCAAATCTTTATGAGAGAATTCGTCACGGAGCTCAGGGACAACATGTGCTGTTCACGGTTGTATGTATAACCGGACTAAACTAATTCAGTGGCTTAAACGTGATTGTTTTGAACATAAGCTGAAAACGAAATCAGAGTGATCCTGCCAACGACTGTAGTTTCCATCACCTCCCAAAAGACGACGAATCTTCCTGTGTACATATGTAAGCAATAAGGTACGAGAGGCTGTGCTGTATCGTGAATAAGTAACGGCTGAAGGGCGTTGTTAGGCACGACGCGAAGTGGAGTGCCTGCAACCCCTTCAGCCGTTACTTATTCACGATACAGCACTTGCCTCGAGTACCTTATTGCTTTTATAAAACGGTTGCCACACAATATTAAAATAAAAAACAATGTATTAGTGCAACTTTCATTTAGTTTAATCAATAAAAACATTCCTTCCGCCAGAAAATAGTCCCTCCCTGACTGTGAACAACAACGTTCCAATGTGTAATATGCAGGAAATCTCAAATAAAAACAACAAACCATTCTCAAACTTTGTGTCATTCTTTTTATTTTTTACAACACAAAATTTGTGAAATGTCCTCACACAAATAGGCATAGCTTATCTCTCAGCAAAATACAAATCTAAAATAAAAAAATAAAAAAAACACAAAGGCACATATTTTGATAGATAACAGTTAGGTCTTTAATCTAGTTATTCATTTATTTGCTAAAATGCTGCCTAAGGGGCCGTTCACATATCGCGCCTAAAAACGCGTAGAAAACGCTAGGCGCAAGCGTTCTCCTTTTTCCAAAGAAGCGCTAGGGCGGTTGCGCTCCGGAGGCGCCTGTCGTTGCTAAGCAACCATCAGCTGTGCTCTCCGTTACATGAAGGAAATTTCAGCAATGGATTTCCACCACCGAAAAACCCTTGCTGTAACTCTGTTACAAGATTTATTTACTCAGAAAAGTAAAAAACGCCGCAGTGTTTGGGTGCACCCCATACTACAAAAACGCAAGAACCATGGGGAATTTCACCAGCTGATTCAGGAACTCCGCCTGGACAATGGGAGGTTCAAAGCCTATTTCAGAGTGGACAAGGACCAGTTTGATTATATTTTAAGAAAAGTTGGCCCAAGCATTGGTAAACAGAGCTTCTGCCGTGAAACCATCTCTCCTGCCCAACGGCTCTGCATTTGTCTGAGGTTAGAATATAACTGAATTGGTCATAAAACACCAGAAATAGCAAACATACACATTTATATATATTTATATATATATAATATAGATCAATTCGTTATAAACAATGATGGATTTAACAAGAAATCAGTTGTGAGCATTCATATTTTTAGTAAATATATTTTTACTAGTAGTGCAGCAGTTTACAGCGCTGTCCATATGTATAAAAATACCGAAATACCACAATTAAGTTATTCACATAAAGTCATTTATGAATACTAGTAGACCTAATGTCTATGTCAAAGCATGACATTACAGTGGTGGAAGAAGTATTTCATTTCAGTACAAGCAGAGTTGCGTAAGTTACTCTAAAATATATGTAATTTCTATCAGTTCACTTTGAAATTATTTTTTGGTATGAGCTTACCTCAAGGGCATCCAAGATGTAGGTGTCTTTGTTTTCACAGTATTTTCAGTTTTGATATTTTTAGGTCAAACCGTTCTTGTCTGTCAGTCATATAGGCTAATGCAGGTCTATGGTCACCACCTCAAAGAGCATGCACAGAGAAGTCCAAATTAAACATGATTTAATGACTCGTAAATGTAAGTACACATAGATGGCCTAAGACACGAAATGAGCGGTTTGTGTGAAAACGAACAGTATTTAAATCGTTTTTACCTCTTGTAATCACAGTCATGTCCAAGTACTTTGAGGGTGCGGGCTCTTCTGTCTGCGCTCGTTGCATTGATACTGTACACGTTGCATACGTGTATACACGTGATACACATTGATAACCACTCGTTTCATGTCTTAGGCCAGTCATGCTTTCACATAGGCATTAGGTCTACTGGTATTCGTAAATGACTTTATATATGAATAATTTAATTGAGGTATTTTTATACATATTTTTACACACACTAAATATAAATGTACGCTTGTTACAGATATCTTGCAACTGGGGATTCATTTAAGACCATCGCCTTCAGTTATCGCGTGGGCCATTCTACAGTTGCAGGCATCGTAAAAGATGTGTGTGAAGCCATATGGGACAACCTTGTGGAAGAATACATGCCACCACCTAACAGGGAACGCTGGCGAGAAATCGCAGCTGATTTCCAGCAGATGTGGAATTTCCCTAACTGTGTTGGGGCAGTAGATGGCAAGCACATAGTGATTCAGGCCCCTGCCTCCAGCGGTTCCCTTTATTTTAACTACAAAGGCTCCTTCTCAATTATTCTCCTTGCTGTTGTTGATGCTCGGTATCGCTTCCAGGTGGTGGATGTTGGAGCTTATGGCCGAAGTAGTGATGGTGGTACGTTGGCTGTTTCAGCATTTGGAAGAGCTCTCTGTCAGGGCAGCCTTGGCATACCAGAGGACAAACCTCTCCCTGGTGCAGAGCATCTGGGGCCTATGCCACATGTGTTCGTTGCGGATGAAGCCTTTCCCCTCAGACGCCACATGATGCGTCCACATCCTGGCCAGAACATTGGGAGAGAGAAAAGGCTGTACAACTACAGGCTTTCACGGGCCAGGCGAATGGTGGAGTGCTCATTTGGAATCCTAGCGGCACAATGGCGGCTGTACAGAAGAGTGCTAGGAGTGACCCCAGAAATGGCAGAGAAAGCTGTTAAGGCTACCTGCATCCTCCACAACCTTCTGAGGGTAGATCAGGCAGAGGATCATCCACAAGCACCGTCATCAGAACCTGACTCCACTGCAAGGGCAATGGGAGATCTCCACAGAATGAGCAGCAACAACTCATCTCGCGAAGCTATAACCATCAGAGAGAAATTTACCCAGTATTTCTCATCTACCGAGGGTGCAGTCCCATGGCAGGAGAACATTATTTGATGTTACATTATAACAAAGAATAAGTGAATAACCAAAGAATAAACTAATCTGTAATATACTACTTAATAAAATAATTAAATTTTAATACAACTTGCCTCATTTTCAAATTATAATTATAATTTATTTATCAGTTCAATTGTTTTAGAAACATTCACATGTAATAATCAACATTGTAAAAATACGTGTTTTAATTAAACAATGAACAAAAAAAGTAAATAAAAATAAAAATAACATATCAATTACAATAATGTAATAGACAATCACCTCTGCCTCCACTGACTAACCAAACCCCCCCACCACCACACACACACCTCACTCAAACTCAGCTTCATAAAGAACTTGCTCGATTTTCATTCGCACTTCTGCTTTTCTCTGCGGAGGAAGTCTCTTAAATGTTCCAACGAGACTCATGAAATAGAGTTCATCGTAGTCTTGAGGTTTACTCAGGTTACTTAGAATGCTCTTCTGGAATTCAGAGAGGTCTGGCTCTGCACTTCTCCTCCTTTTTCCCATTGAGGGACATCTAGAGACCTGGGTGACAGGTGTAGGACACATAGACTGGATGTTTGTTGGCTGACTGGTGTTGCTGCTGCTGGTCGATGCCAGGGGCTCTGGCTCTACAGGAAGTAGGGTCAAGGTAATGAGACCCTCACTTTGGCTGTCCTAGGAGAATAAAATAAAGTTATTTTAGCAGAAAAACAAATCATGACTTAAGATTGATGAAGTGTGTTATTATGTATTAGCTTTTACTCCAGTAAATACTGCATATTTCAATTATCCAAATACTGACAGCTACTCGTACTTTCTATATAGTATCCAAACGTCTGACTTCAAACTTCTGTAAAAAGCTACCTCATTACGTTCAGAGCCTAGCTGATCTGAGGCCTGTGGGATGTTGGATGACGTTGGCCTCTCCTTCACAAATCGCTCCAGGAAGCTGAGAGCATTTGTGAACTTCCATTTCCTCTGACTTCCTCCCTCAGAGCCACTTCTCTTCTCCCTTTCTGCTTTCCTCTCCTTTATATACTTATCCTTAAAATATTTCCACTTCTTTCTGCCCTCATCCTCTGAATAAACATAATGATTAATGTTCAGAGGACAGAGATGCATGTAACATTACATGCACTCTCAGAAAAAAAGCTGTCACTGGGACTGTACCTTTTCAAAAGGAAAACTTTTGTCCATTTTAGGTGCTAATATGTACATTTTAGGTGCCAATACTTACATTTTAGGTGCTAATATGTACATTTAGGTGGTGATATGTACATTTAGGTTCTAATATGTACATTTTAGGTGCTAATATGGACATTTATTTGCTAATATGTACATTTTAGGTGCTAATATGTACATTTAGGTGGTGATATGTACATTTAGGTTCTAATATGTACATTTTAGGTGCTAATATGGACATTTATTTGCTAATATGTACATTTTAGGTGCTAATATGTACATTTAGGTGGTGATATGTACATTTAGGTTCTAATATGTACATTTTAGGTGCTAATATGGACATTTATTTGCTAATATGTACATTTTAGGTGCTAATATGTACCATTCAGGCTACTAATATGCACCCTTTAGGTACAAAAGCGTTCCTTTTGAAAAGGTACAGCCCCAGTGACAGCTTTTGGACCTTTTTTTCCTTAGAGTGTGTTTGCAAACAATTGTCATTGACTGACAGTCATTTTGCATGACACTGAAAAATGTTATCGGCTAGCATGACTGACAAACCAGTTAGTAAAACATTAATGTAAAACAGTATCATACTTACCAGTTATTCCAAGCTCCAAGGCTATGTGTCTCCATGCATTATGCCTCTTATTTGTGTCAAAATAATGAGGGCTTGACAAGTCATAAATTTCAGGAAATCCCTGGACCGCAATGATGAGCCGTTCCTCCATTTAGTTCTCCTGAGGTAACACAAGTGGCGAGGAAGCTGATTGGTTGGTTCGTGTCACGTGACCTACGGTGCGCTTGCGGCATTCTGAAAAGTTGAGATGTTTTTATCTCGATGCGGCGCGGACGCGCCTAGAAAAAACGAGCGCGTCGCACCGCGACCGCGTCGCTTCCATTATGAGCGCGCATACCGCGCGCCTACATTTGAAATAACGAACTTGAGCGCGCAAAAGACGCGATATGTGAACCGGGCCTAACAAGAGATACTTTATTTATTGTTGTTTATTTAAATGTATTTGAACATCTCCGTTTATTGTGCATGCATTTATATTTGTCTCATTTCAATCGGCTCCACTGCGGTGATATTTTAGTTGGGGCTCAGCGCTGTCAGCGGTGTTTTCTGTTGCAGCAAGAATGTCACAGACATAACTTAAAAAGGCTAAAATGTTTCGTTTTATACTAGGTAAATTTCGTAAATAAATCGAAGTAAATTTCGATTTATACTAGGTGGCATGGCGATGGATAAGTGGTTTGAGGAACAATTTGGAGAGACTTCTACAAATACCGTCATGCTGAAGTGCTGAAATGTAAATTTGATACATTTGAGAAGACTCGTAATGAAAAAAATGCCGTGCAGCAAATCGGTGTGTGATGCTCCGTTTTATCACGACCCTCTCTTCTCATTGTCTTTACGACTCCAATGAAAACATTATTGGATAAGGTGAATTCGCTGTCTCTTATCAGACCCCAGGACAAACTCGGTGGATCATAGGAATCTGTTCAGACCCGCACGTAACGCTACATAGATACTGATCCCATATTTTTCTCCTGTGGAGCTTCTGACAGTTCCGTAGAAGTCATGGATAAGTGCGTTGAGTTCCGTCTTGGTGATTTGTTTAAAATCTATGCTGCAACCCTTTTCACTACACCAATCACCGAAGCATTTCACTGCCCATTCATGGGTTTGCTGCACGGTATTTTTTTTCATTACGTATTTGTCTTCTCGAATGTGTCAGTGTTGCATTTCAGCACTTCAGCATGACGTTTCGTATTTGTAGAAGTCTCTCCAAATTGTTCCTCAAACCACTTATCCATCGTCATGCCACCTAGTAAATCGAAATTTACTTTAAACATTTTAGCCTTTTAATTCTCAAGTTTTTTTCTGTTTAGCCTATGTTGATATGTGTGGTTGCTAAGGGTGTTGCTAAGGGCGCAGTGATAAATAGAACCGTTGGGTGAAGCGGTCATAGCCGTGTTTTATCGTGAATAAAGCACAGCTATTGACCAATCAGAATCAAGGATTGGAACTAACCGTTTTATAAGTTTAAATTCTTAATATTCTATAAACTTTTATCAGCATGTGTTTGGCTGTTCTCTACTGATGTTGCACCTAAACTCAGGATCAAAGCCTGTGTTGACAGAATACCAAATGTGCCAGTTAATGTATTCAAGCAGCACATTCATTTATAATTTTGAATAAATTCCAAAGCACAATGACTAAGTGTGTATTTTTTATTTTAATTGTTTGTCAGCTCGCACAACTGTCTGTCACCATGCCTTGATGAGTATTGATTATTAATAATGTTATTATAATACTGCCAATCAACTACTGCGGAGGGTAAAGGTACTGTTATTTCACCCTTTTTAATTTCGTTGAGGTTGTGTTCCCACATCGTTTGCTAGTTTGGATCGCTATAACTTGAATGACTGTCAACTGTTGAATGAACGAGTGTCAAGCATGTCAAATCGTGCTTTGTTTACTTCAAACCGGAAGTCGCTCCCACTTTTCTACGCAAGGCCTCATGGGGCGTAGGAAACTTGTGGATAGAGTTTTTATAATGTTCTTGGCATGATTTAGCACTTAATTAATTGATATTAGCATGTAGCTATTCACAGCTAGCAAGTTTAGCATTTTGAAAGTCCTGTGTACTAGCATGAGTCAAAAGACCCAACCCTATCGCGATACAATGTTCTGATGCTGAGATATAGGTATTGCAAAATGGTTGCTAGTGTACTCTGTTTTTGTTTTGTTTTTGTTTTTTGCTAGGGAGTGGCTTGGCAGCTGCTAATCATGAAACTCCAAAGGCTGCAGTATGAATGATATAAACCAACCCCCATCTCTATACGCTGTTCTGATGCAGAGATGTAGGTCCTGCAAAATGGTTGCTAGGGTACTCTGTTTGGTTGCTTGGGAGTGGGTTGGCAGCTGCCAATCATGAATCTCCAAAGGCTGCTTGTCAGTATGAACGATATAACACAACTCCCATGCCTCTGTGACATTTAGAATGGAAGAGATCCATCTATGGATTTTGGTTGCTAAGGTGCATGATAATGGTTGCTAAGGCGTGGCTAGGAAGTGTTGATTTCATTCATGATTGGCTGTTTGCTGCCCCGAGTTAAATGAGCCCCCCCTACCTAATGCAGGTATAGGGGTCCACATAAAAGAGCATGCACAGAGAAGTCCAAATTAAACATGATTTAATGACTCGTGAATGTAAGTACACACTGATGGCCTAAGACACGAAACGAGCGGTTTGTGTGAGAAAACGAACAGTATTTATATAGTTTTTACCTCTTGTTAACAGCTTTGTCGAACTGATCTGAATCAGATGTCCAACTGAACCGAACTGAACCGTTTCCAACGTTACACTGGAAGTGATCTCTCGCGCGTCTGAGTCACGCATTGTTTACACGGAGATTTCGGAAGTTTTACCTTTCACTAAACATATTTAGATATATCGAAATCGTCTTCCATTGCGATTTCCCGTATATCTAAATATGCTTAAATCTTCACAGTAAAAGGTAAAACTTCAGAAATCTCTGTTTAAACAATGCGTGACGTAGAGATCACTTCCGGCGTAACGTTGGAAATCAGTTGGACATCTGATTCAGATCAGTTCGACATACCTGTTAACCAGAGGTAAAAACTATATAAATACTGTTCGTTTTCTCACACAAACCGCTCGTTTCGTGTCTTAGGCCATCAGTGTGTACTTACATTCCCGAGTCATTAAATCATGTTTAATTTTGACTTCTCTGTGCATGCTCTTTGAGGTGGACCCCCTAAACCTGCATTATATGACTGACAGACAACAACGGTTTGACCAAAAAATGTCAAAATTGAAAATGCTGTGGAAACAAAGACACCTACATCTTGGATGCCCTTGAGGTAAGCTAAAACATATCAAAAATTAATTTCAAAGTGAACTATCCCTTTAAGCAGCACTTTTGTTTCAACATTAATAATATATCAGCATATTCAAATGATTTCTGAAGGATCCTGTGACTGAAGACTAGAGTAATGGCAGATGAATTCAGCTTAAAATAGACAGCCATTATTTAAATTTTTTTAATAATATTCCACAATATTACATTTTGTTTCTGTATTTTTTTAAAATAAATGCAGGCTTGAGGATAAGAGACTTCTTTCAAAAACATTAAGAATATTAATGCTGGTACATACACACTTAACGTCACATTAAATCATGAGATTGTTGTGCACACAACAGTCTAATTTGATTATTAAAATTAAAACAAAAATGAACATTTCAAATGCAAACTAATACTTTCTATACTGGCTCACCAAAGCAAAAGATACAAGTAAACGTATTATTTGGTGAAGAGTCTAACATACCTTTTGCAAAATTATGTAATTTATATATTTATATAATATTCTTTAGTCAGAAATCAGTGCAGCACTATAGTAATATAGTACAGATTGATGTAGTGTGTGCCTGAAAAAATTGGTTATCGCTTTCTGCAAATGTTATTTTAGAGTGTTTTTTATGTTTGTTTCTTTGTTGTTGTTTTTCCCTCCAAGTGGAACTCTACGTGTGTGGGAGCTGGATTTACTCAACAGAAAGATCCGGCCCACAGAATGTCAGACTGGACTGCTTAAGAGAATTGTCAAATGCCTTGAGGTGAGTGAGAATCACGGCTACTGCCGGTTCTGGTTCTCTCTTCTTTTTTTACCTGCTCATGATAGGTGGTTTTCAAAGTTTTTTTTTTTGTACGGCTAAAACTGGTATATAAAACATAAACGTAAAGTGTTTCTGCCTTGCAGATCCCAAATGATGATAATTATTTATACTGTGGAACTACAAGTGGGGATATTCTGAAAGTGAACCTGAAGACTAGGTTGCTCAACAGCTGTGGACCTGTTAAACAAAAGTTCAGCAAGGTGAACCTACTAATTCTGTACAATCATTTTTCTGAAGTTGCCTGTTTATCCATTAGATGCATGACTTCTGAAAAAAAAAAAATGTACTGAGGCACATAATGTAAATTGTTTCAAAATAATGCACTGTAAATATTGAATTTATCTTTGACTGTTTTATTATCTCTTTTGACTACTGCTATTATTTATTGCTCTAGACAGTCCACGAAACACAGTTACTGTAAACAGAGATGCAAAAAACAAGCTGAACAACTAGTTTGAAAAAAAAAAGATGATATTTTAAAATGCTTTGTCTTGTTGTCGCAGGGAGTGAACACTCTTAAAGTCTTGAAGACCGGTGATATTTTAGTTGGATCAGGAGATGGGATGTTGACTTTGTGCTCAGGAGGGAATTTCAAAACCATAAAGTCTGTAACAACCTTGGTTTCCTCTTCTTTCCTCTTCTCAGTTGTTTTATTTTATGTGCTCTTTGTTTTCCTTATTTGTTATTTTTTATATTTTCTCCCTGTCTTCCTCTCTTTCAGCCACTATTTATGGTGAACTATATGATTTGTGACAGGAGTGTTCAGTTGGAGGGAGGGGTGACGTCAGTAGCTCTGCGCGGAGACGGGCATCAGTTCTTCGTTGGGACAGAGATGGCACAGATCTACAGTTTAAGCTACACTGACTTCAAACCAGAGCTCATTGCTACAAATCATAACAGTTCTGTAAAGGATGTGGCCTTTCCTTTGTGAGTAATACATATGAACACCTCTCTTCTGCCACCAGAGGGAGACATTAGCTTTGTATCGGTGGTCTAGGTAAAATTCATTGATCTATTTGTGCAAATCCTCTCTATTACTCTCAACAGTGGGACGTCAGAGCTCTTTGCCACCTGTTCACAGAATGATATAAGAGTGTGGCATACTGAGTCCTCCAAGGAACTACTGCGTATCACAGTGCCCAACATAACATGCAACGCTCTGGGCTTTATGCAAGATGGCCGGAGCATCTTCAGTGGTCAGTCTCATAAAGGATGACCAGTTGAAATGGTTTGAGGAGCATAGCGTTGCTTTTCTATGTTGATGTATTTTCTGTTTGAAAGACTATTTGTACACTCCTTGGCAAAAAAAAAAAAAAAAAGTGGCCGAGCCAAAAACATGAAAATATGTAGTGGTATTTAAATGGTCTTAACCATTTTAATCATAAATTACTGGTCAGGAAATTAGCAGGATTTGCACAACTACTGTAGATATAGTAACAGCACGGAATATCCTTCCCCAATTTGTAGAAAGCTTTTTACAGGAAGAAGAGTCAGGCTACGTCTACATTAATCAGGATATATTTGAAAACTGAGTTTTTCATTTAAAAATGCTCTCCGTCCACATTTCAAGCATTTTCCAAATGTTTCTCATCCACACCGAAACATCGGAAAACTTTAAATTCACCTTACAGCGCATGTTTAAACCCTCATAAAAGCTCACTGAGATGATGCAGACAAAACAAGACACAATCAAGTTGTCACGCAATTCTTCTGGCAACTCATTTTATTTAGCAAAATATCTCAAAATATCTGCGTGCAGGTCACACTCACCATTTTATGTTTGATCTAAAACGCAACTGGTCTCATGTTTTGCTGCAGGACAGCTAATGCGAGTGAATTTTCTGTCATCTTTGCATGACTGTGATATGAAGAGTGTGTAAAGTAACATATTTTAGCAACTGTGTGAAAGTGAAAAGCACATAACAGGCACAATATTTGATGTTAGAAACATGAAAATCTATGGGTTCAATATGCATAATGTGATTAAACTTATGTCATTGTTTTTAAATACCTCCGTTTTCACAGTCCGAACGCAAAAACAGCATTTTCAATTTTATCCACTTTTGAGAGCATTTGCAGAAAGCTTAGTTTTTGTTGCTAAAAATGCTGTCTCAGTGTGGACGGAAGGCCAAAACAAAAGAGAAAAGAGAAAAAGATGCGTTTTCAAACGAAAACGCTTTAGTGTGGAGTGGACAAGGCCTCCGTGTTGTTCCACGCAATGTTGATGGCTTCAAACTGTTCATGGGTAGTTGAAAAATGTCTCCTAGTTCGTTCGAGTTCATTTGTGAGACCAAATATGCACTATAGGCTTTAATCTGGACTCTAACTTGGCCTTGTTCTCAAGCCACTTCTTGGTTGACTTTGAAATTTGGGCAGAAGCATTGTCTTTCTGACAATATTTCTGCCAACAGCCATTCTGCAATATTTTCCTGTACTCCAAAGCATTATTTTCACAGTGTAGTAGCTCACCAATACCTGCAGCTAAGAAGGCTTCACACACATAGAGAATAGAGATGCATTTATTATTATACTTCTCCCCAGATTTTCGAAAACACCCTCTGGATCATCACCATGTAACCTGTGTTTCATTTTGATTCATCACTCCACACAATTCTGCTGATTTTCAGTGAATCAAACTTCCAGTTTCTGCCGAAAACTTCATTCTATTAAATTTGTTTTTTTTTCTGAGAGCGTAATGGCATTTTGCTAATTTCTTGACCAATAATTTGTGGTTAAGACAATTAAAAGATCAGTGTTTAGCCATTTCTTTAGCCCAGGAGTGATCTTAACTAAAGACACAGACAAAACACAATACTACTTGGTATTGCTAGTTTGATGCTGGTTAGATTTAGATTATACTTTTTTATCTAAATAATATATAAATGGATTTTTAACTGTGTAAATATTTTATTTGTTTATTTCAATATGATTTATTGGATTATTATTAATTTTATTATTAATTATTATTATTAACAGTTTTTGCAGTACACTAGAATACAGATGACCTCAAAACTTATAGACATGGAGTCTTCAATAATGAATTCACAGGGTCTTTTTTGATCAGTATTTAACAATTAAAAAAAGTTTGAATTATGCACAAACATGCTAATTAATTCACTCATTTAACACGTTTGAACTTTCTTATTTGATAACTTTTTTGACAGCTTGGAACGATGGGAAGATTCGTGTGTTCACTCCAGAGACCGGGAAACTGAATCTGATAATTCATAATGCCCACAGTATGGGAGTGACTGCCATAGCAGCAACCAATGACTGCAAGTGGATTGTCAGTGGAGGGGGAGAGGGACAGGTATGTGCTGTATCAGTTACACATTATAAACTCACTCTTGAGATCTGTGCTCATGTTTTAGATTAAACAAATTACATTAAAGGGTTAGTTCACTCAAAAATGAAAATTCTGTCATTAATTAGTAAAGTCATTGCAACTGTCAAGGTCCCGAAAGGTAGTAAAGACATATGTAAAATACATATGCAAATTTTTTGCGAATTTGTTCTCTCTTAGGCTTAGGGACTTTGTTCTGGGATTTAGGCTCTCTATATACTATAGTGGACTATATAGTGAGCTCGCCATTTTGTAGTGCTGTCCGAATGTATAGTGATGATTCATGAGTAGTTGAAAAATGTCTCCTAGTTCGTTCGAGTTCATATGTGATATATAGTCCACTCAATGTATCCCAGAATGCATTTTGAAAAGTAGTGTACAACAGATGGTCACTAACCCAAGCCCTACATACCATCATGCATTGCACTGATCGTAAAAATAAGGTATAATCATGCGTGGAGTCGCGCATTATAACAGAAACGGCCAGAAATTACTTTCAGTTTTTACATTTTGGAGAAATAAGCTCAATATAATGTAATGTATTTATTTTAAAAAATCTATTTAGCCCAGAGCCGGCTCGGCACCAGCTTACAGATGATGTAATCAACGATAGAGTAGTGTCCGAAAGTGGTGTTTTTATTATGCTGGTGAGCTCACTATATAGTGCTCTTCTCCCTACCCCGTGGTTTGAGTGGAGATTTCGGACACAGCAAATAATTGGTGTAGAACCCCTAAGAACTGTACTGTCTGTGTTTACTATGCGAAAAGCGTAGGAGATCTGACACTAAAGAGACGAAATTGTTGTTGTTGTTTTAATTTTTTGGCGCACGAAAAGTAGGGGTGGGAATCTCTCGGCACCTCACAATTCGATTATGATTCAGAGTTTATTTATAGTTCGAATACGGATATACAACAGTAATAATAGTACAGCCGAGTGTTTTTCCTCCTCTGGGTGGAAACGTGTCATATGGCTTCTCATATCTGTCGTGTTTCCAAAATATTTTAGTTGTATTTTTCAAAGCTTACAACTAATGTGGCTCTTGTCCAGCTCATTTAAAAAAAAAGTATATATATATATATATATATATACTTTTTTTGAAAATCGATTTTTGATATTTGTGAATCGATTCAGAATCGTCCACGTCCGCATTGCAAACATCTAAGAATCGTTTTTTTTCCCCCACCCCTAACCAAAAGTGTTCTCGTCACTTCATGACATTACATTTGAACCACTGTATTCTCATGGACTATTTTAACAATGTCTTTACTATATTTTGGCCTTGAAAGTTCCAATGACCTGTCTGTGGAGGGGTCATAAAAATCTCGGATTTCATCAAACATATCTTCATTTGTGTTTCGAAGATGAACCAGGGACGGCGTTTGCGTATGGCAGAGTATGGCCTTTGCCATACCCTAGCAGTCAGAGTTCAGATAAAACATCAGCTGATGATGATGCTTGTTAAAGATTTTAGAAGGGGTTTTTCAACCCCCTAAATTTCCACCCCAGCCCCCCAAAAAATTCGTGATCGCTCAGTCAGTCGTCACCTTTAAAAGTCATATGAAACCGGCTCCTTCCAACCAGCTTCTCCGCAGCGTCAGCGTCAGAACAGAAGCAGATGAAAACGTGCATGCATTTATTGATAGACCGTGTAGGCCTATAGTATACATCTGTGTTCTTTGTTTGTTATAAATGCAGTTTACATTAAATGATGCTGGAGTAATTAAACACGGTTTCCCACTGTAAAATCTGGGCTTAGGCTATTTATTTATGAAATTCCTTTCATATAAACGAGTCCGACGTGAGATGAGACTTTTGTGACTTCTCATACTCTTGCTATACTTCATACTTCAGTGCAATAAAGTTGCTAAAAAAAATTTTATAATATTAATTTGATAATAAATCCCAAGGCAAAACACGTCATAATGAAGTGAACAATAATGATGAGCGCCTCTGCTCTTGGCAGAGTCATATGGCTCTTGGTCTAAACGCTGACTTCTCTGATTGGATGATGGATCAGGAAAAAACAACGTATTTTCATTATTATTTTAACAACGTTGATAACACAATATTATATTTTAAATGAACACATAAATGTATTATACATGTTTAGAGTATTGCAAAAGTATTATTATTATTTTTTGTTTTTGTTTTGTGGGTGTGTGCAGCCGCAGCTATTGTATCACTTAGGCCTAATCGCACGTCTTTTTGATTAGCCTGTCATACGGAGTAAACATGAAAAGAAACAGGCCAATTCAATCATCCTTTTATGTGTTTTTTATTGAAAAAAATAAAATAAAAAAAGAGGACTGTAGTGCTGTCAGTGACAGTGAATCTGGGCCTCCAGTTTCTAATGCAAATCCTACATTAGAGACGCGTTCGCTTAGCTACAAGTTAACAGTGCATTGTGCATTTTGTTAATGTGAGGTATATCGTTCGGTAGTATTGTTTTTCTATGTAATGTTACGCTAGAGGGAATGCCATACTCTAGGTTTTTGTGAAACGCCGCCACTGAGATGAACAAAGGTCTTACGGGTTTGGAATGACATGAGGGTGAGTCATTGATGACAGAATTTTCATTTTGGGGTGAACTATCCCTTTAACTATCCCACTTAGATCATGGCTACTTGCAAAATTTATAATAACAAATAGATTAAATATTAAAATATTATTTTAAGATTAAATTAATTATTTTGACAATTAATTGTTGATGGGGAAAAAAAGGGCTGTGGAGTGAAATAATATTTGATCAAATAAACGTAGCCTTGGTGAGCAAAACTTTAAAAAACCTTTAAGACTCAAAGTTTTGAACGGTAGTGTATGTAGGAAACTAGTTTCCTTGGGTAACAATTAAATACACAGTTTAGCTTTCATTATACTACAGTATCTATTTTACAGAGCAGTGTAATAATAAGTAGAAATGTTTTACTATTTTGCAATCTAAAACATCCTTACAATAAATGCAGAATAAATGTAATGTAAACCTTGACATCTCTCTAAAATGAAGGTGCGAGTCTGGGAGATATTCCAGAAATCCTATCGACTCATTGCGACCATGAAGGAGCACAAAGCCAGAGTTAACTGTATTAAGATCAAGAGTAATGACAAGGAATGTGTGACAGCCAGCTCTGATGGAGCCTGCATCATCTGGGACCTGGTGTAAGTATGAAGAGCATCAGATCGTTAATCTAGACGTACTGTGTGAGAGGTTTTGCCCTCATGTTATTATTAATCTAAGCACAAGCTTGCCGTGTGTTAAAAAATAGTGCTGTTAAAAAGATTAATCGCGATTAATTGTATTTAACATAAAATGTTGTGTTTATATAATGTAATATTATATATTATATACACACACACACACATGTATGATGCATGTATGTGTATATATATATATATATATATATATATATATATACACACACATATTATGTAGACACACATATTATGTAGACACAAAATTTTCTGTTGGATGCGATTAATCGATTTGACACCACTAGTTGAAAAGTTAAAGGGTTTGTTCATCCAGAAATAAAAATTGTGTCGTCAGTTACTCACCATAATCGTTGATGACGTTCCAAACCCAAAGATTTTCATTAATCTTCAGAGCACAATATACCTCGGTCAAGGTAGTGCCAAATTTTTGAATGAAAAGGCAATGAGGGATAAAACACGAAAATTCAATGGATTGTACTGTTGTTTAACAATATACCAGATGTGCATCTGATTGAATGTCTTTGCGGAAAACAACAACAACTTTCAGTAGATGAAAACTCCATAGAGTTGTGAAAATGATGTGATCTAGGACCTTTATACAGTGCATGCCATTGTAAAGACTGTACATCTATCCCTCACAGCCTTGTTTTCATCTGCGTTAAATTAAATATGGTGACTAAGGTCTATTAAATATATGTTTAATGTCTTTTTCCTTTTTCATTTCTGTCCCTCAATTGAAAGTCTATTCACGCAAAACTAAAGTTTGAGCATTTTTGAGTGCTCTATGTATGTTCGCTGATCAGTGTTTATATGTGAATAAAAGCCTAAATTAAATCTGTTCATCATGTAAAGTGATTGTGTCTCTTCAGAAGACTTGGATTAAACCACTCGATTCATATGGATTTATTTGACTGATTATGAACGTTTTGATGCATCTGATATTTGGGTGAATACACCTTTAGGTCATACACCTTCACATGAGCCAAATATTCAGAGTACTGATTTGCTTTGTGAAAAAAACATTCTATTTGATGTCATCTTTAACTTTATCTGTCTGGGTTTTTCTGATTTCCCATTTAAGGAGGTTCGGCAGGAATCAAATGGTCTTATCCAACACCCTGTTCAGTGTTGTATGTTACCACCCTGAGGAATACCAGATCATCACCAGTGGCACTGACAGAAAGGTACAAGACTAGAGTGATCTAGACTGATGTGCTGGCATGTGTTTGAGAGAGAGAGAGAGAGATGAGTAGGTGAGAGAGTTGGAAAAAAAAAATCTGAGAAAGATACACAACAACAACTAGCTGACAGAAAGCTCTCCTACATCTCCTGTGGATGTACTGTAGTATGATCCGCTCATTCTGTGCCAAATAGTCCATCTGCTAGTTTAAGGCACAGCATCAGTGTCCATTTAAAGAGCTTATTAGAATACGTATGTGCACATACGTCCATCACACAGAAGGAAAGGAAAGATTGCCATCCCCATCCTCTGTGTGGGGTGAAAAATGAAAAGTGGGGGTAAAAGTAAAAAAAAGTACATCATGATGTTATGTTTTATTTAAAGACCTTATATTATTTGCAAGTAGCTTAATTTATTATCAACAATGGTACTAGAGAGAGATTAATATGCTGCATTTGGATAAAGAACAAATGTGTTCTGTTAAATTTCAGCCATCTAATAGCAGTTATTAACAATACTCCAGACTGTTGCCAAACAAACACAAATGTGACTCCATTGTTGTCCAAACGCAGCCAAAACCAGCACAGTATGTACAGTACTTGAAAGGACACAATGCTGGGGTCATGCCGGATACCCAGTGCTGGCGCAAAGCCCGCTGTGACAGATCCATCTCAATGAGGCATACCAGACCTGCTCTGTCTGCTGTGCTATTACATTTTAAAACTTGATAAAATTGTTTTGTCATATTTTTTTATACGTATATATGTTTTGAACAGCCTAATAAGTATGAAATTTGAAACATTTTGACAGGATGTTTTAATAAAAGAAAATCATTCAGAATCAGAATTTCTTTGTTTTATTTGTTCTTTTTTAAATGAATAGTCCAATTATCAAAAAAGCAAGGTCATATCACAAAAGTGAACATCCCCATTACTGCTGAAATGCAATAAGTGGCCTACGGAAATTAGATTTATGTAATATCTGTTGAGTGCAGGTTCAGATGTAACAGCGCAAGACAAAGAACAACTGAAGGCTTAGAGCCATTTGTTTAGTTTTTTTCTTAAGTTGCACTATAACAAATTACATCTTGATTCTTCTCTCTGAGTGCATGCTGAGAAATTTCTGTGTCTCTCTCTTTTTGTATATAATAATAATAATAATAATAATACAATTTTATTTATATTGCGCTTTTCTTGTACCCAAAGCGCTACAATCACAGTACAAAAGTAAAATACATTAACAATTAAGATACATTAACACCAATTAAGACACAAACACATTTAATACTTCATACTTTTTCTATCACATTTATCAGGTATCGTTATGATTTTTTAAATGTATTTAATTAACAGCCTTATTTATTTGTTTGTTATACCACCATGAAACCAATTTAGACTAGGATGAGGGATCTTACATGCAATCTTTAACCGTTGAACAGATTGGCTACTGGGAGGTGTATGATGGTTCTGCAATCCGAGAACTTGAGGGCTCCTTGTCCGGAGCTATAAATGGCATGCACATTTCTGAGGATGGAAAACATTTTGTGACTGGTAGGTACCTTCAGTATCTTTTCACATGCTGAGTTATTTTCACCGAGTCATTCTTCTGTCATATGGCGAATTTAACAGTAGCAACAGGTGGCACAATAACAATATAAACAGAAGTATTTATAATGCTGCGCATCATTCGCAAAACAGTTGGATATTTCATGTTTGCAGAATTCAGACTGATCCCAGCAGTTATTTTTAAATGAGTTTCACAGTTTGAGTCGATAAGGTGCTAATCTAACATTCCTGATTTTAATCATGTGTATTCATGCTGCTTTCTACAGTTTAATGATAAGCGTCAAATGTCTCTTTTAGGTGGAGATGACAAACTACTGAAGCTCTGGCTCTATTTCGATGGCGAAGTGACCCAAGTTGGCATCGGGCACAGTGGAAGCATCACAAATGTGAGGATCTGTCCCAACAGCAGATATATCATCAGCACCAGTGCAGATGGAGCTATCCTAAGGTGGAGATACCCACAACCCTCATAGATCCCTAAACAGTCAACAAGATCATCTAATGCAGTTTGCACATATTCTTAATAGTTAGATATTAAATCTGCTGCGATATTTTTTAAGAGCAAATGCAGGCCCTTTGGATTTCAGTTACTATATTTAAACATTAATATTACTAATTCATTTGTCACCATAATCTGCAAGAAAACATTATTGTATAATAAAGTATTTTAATGTCATAGAACCGAAAAGATAAATGGTACCTTCCGCTCCTTTTACTTGCAAATAATTGTAGAACAAATTAGGTTATGAATTCTAATGAGATTTAAAGGTACCATTAAACAGTCCAACTCCAGTCATTTCATTGAAATAAAGCAGCTTAGAGCCCCAGTTTCTGAGGACTTTTTGTGAACTGCACTGTCAGCTAATATATCACCTGAGAATCTCCAGAGAGCTGGCGGGGGAGGTTTGGAAAAGTACAGCAAGGCATGAACCCAGCATCTGGATGTGCCTGTCCCAAATTTCCTCTCACCTATGAAGAAGTCTAAATAATGAATATCTTAACCCCTAACAGCAAGGATTTTCAACCATATTGAGTCAGATATCATTTTTTTGGAGGGAGCTTTGGCAAAGTGGTTTTGTATGAGGTTTCAAAAGCAATTTTGGAGATCTAATTAGTAACTAAAGATACATATCAAAATCTTCTGTATCTACAAGTGAATATTATGCCATTCTTTGCATTGTGACAGTTCATTGGTTTAGCTCACACTGAAGGCGGCGCAGATCAGACTATCCAGTGACCTTGTTGTTGTTGATTTAAAGAAATAAAGTAGCAAAATCACAATCACAATTGTTCTCAGAAATCGTATATCAGTATTTATCTGTCTTGCAGGTCAGGTGACTGATAATAAAGATGCCTATCAAAGATCACAAATGTTGGTGTTTTATAGATTAGATGAAGTGTGCAAAATCCTGTGCTGAGTTTATTCTTTTTCTGCTCTCCGTCTTCCTTGCTTATAAGCATAATGGGGTTATAGTTATGAAAATACATGAATATGATTCTAGACATGAAAATAAATCATGGACACACTTTTAAAAGAAAGCACTCAGGGCAACAGTTGGGGGCTCCTAATGCTTTATGAAAAGACACAACTGTGGTATAATTACTTATGAATCAATGTTAATGTCAGTGGTTCAAAAACTTTTTTACTCCTTTTTTATGACATAATATTGCTCAGAAAATCCAAACGGCTTTATTATTGAGAATGTTTAGACTTTTTGAGGATCAAAAAAAGGCTGAATGGATTTTTTTTTTTTCATTTTATGTGTCCACACACTGCAAAGACACATTTATATGCAAACACCATATATAAAAGTGCATTTTGCATCCGATGACCCCTATAAGAAAGGCTTTATCGGAATGTGAACATTAACTCCACATTTAAAGTGTGAAAATCAAGTTGTCAATATTAGCATATCCATTAACTTTGCTGTGAAACAAGGGATTCTCAAAAGAAGCCAGGTCTTATATATATATATATATATATATATATATATATATATGTACAGTATATATATGTATGTATATATATATTATTATTATTATTATTATTTATTTATTTTTTTTTATTTTTTTATACAAAGTATATGAAAAATCAGGTAGATTTAGCAATATAGTGAGGCAGCGGTCTGACCCAAAGATGGCGAAAAGAAACATGGTTTGTGTAACATAAGCAACACATTATTAGCTGTTTGATAACATAGTCCAGCAAAAGGCTAATCATATTAATTAATGTTTTGTGTCCGACCGACGTTGTAAAGAGGGATACCATTGTGCAGATTTTCTCAAGTTGACCGAGTGGATCTCTGAGCTGGTGTGAGTGAGTGGAGGTGAGGGTAATTAGCATATTACCACTAGTAAGTCACATTTATTTATATATGGCTTTTTTACAATACAGATTTTTTTTCAAAGCAGCTTTAGAGATTACAGGAAAATAATGCAGCATAGTTCCAGAAGAAAATAGCATCACAGTCCAGCTTAAGTGATCTTTCATTTTTGTTGTAAAATTATATATATTAGCTGCTCTGGAGAAAACCGTTATGTCATCGTCCAGCACAGTCCATTTCTCATATAATGGTGTAAATGCAGGCAGATGTTATTGATGAATATTAAATGAAGCAAGGGTGTAGTCTAGAGAACTTTTTTAACAGCAAAAACGTTTAAATATGTAATTTTGGTGATCAAAGATTAGATTTATGCGATAAAGGTATCTACATGGTGGGTTTAAATGCGGAATATATACAGAAATGTTTGTGTTTGTAAAGGATAGCAGCGATGAAGCAGGTAAATACAGGTGTATATGGACTTCCGTCTTCTGGCTTTTCATTGGTCACGTTCACTTCTCCCAATACATGTTCAAAGTAAACCAGGCTAATAAGATTCACAGTGGGAGGGTAGAATCCGTGTATCCACCATTCAGACGCATACTCCAGCCAGAAGCCAGAGAAAGAGAGCGGAGAAAACAGCCAGTAATGGGCATCCACACTACACACACACACACACACATGTAGGTGTGGTGTAAAGAACAAGAGTTGTGACTGAATGGAGTTCAGCACAGTGTCATTTCAGGTGCGAAAGCGTCATGGATAAAGCGAAACTAGCGCAGCTGAGATCAGCGATAGGGAATGTCGGGACCGCGCTATAGTCACCATGAGCCTCGGCGCCGACACCGGTGCTTTTGGAGTCTGTTTTTCATCGTCGTGATGGTTTAGTGATGAAGAATTTCGAGACGCACAGGACGCCGTGTCTTCACACCGTAGTGCACTTGTTTCTCTTAATAACTTCTGACCGGTTTGGGTGAAACAACAGACTAAACATGGATACGCCGAGGGAAACCAGGAAACAAACAATCAAAGCCAAATCAACCAAGCGCAAGAACAAGACGCACAAGTCCCAGAAGCTGTTCAGAAGGAAATCGTTGAAATCGCTTGGAAATTTTATGAGCAGGATTGTCAAAACTTTGGGCACTTTAGCACACTTGGGGGACGCGGACCAGCCGGACGCGGGGGAGGATGATGATGGGGGGTTTGGGGACACTCTGAGCGCCCACAACTCTGGGAATTACAGAGAGAACTCGACGAGGAAGGCAGTTGCGCCCGCATCATCCTATGGATCTGTGAAAGAAAGACTGTCCTGGTGTTACGGCGAGAAAACTCCGGGAGTTCAGGGTCTGAAGAATCACGGAAACACCTGTTTCATGAACGCCGTGGTGCAGTGCCTGAGTAACACGGAACTTCTGGCTGAGTATCTGGGTCTGGAGCAGTATAAATGTGAACTATATGAGCGGAGGATCAACGGGGTGATGAAGAGCGAGGAGGTCAGGGGGGAGGTGACGGAGAAGCTGGCGTCGCTGGTCAGGGCGCTCTGGACGCTCGATTACACGCCTCAGCTGTCGGTGGAGTTCAAGGTGAGTTTCGACCAACTTACACAATGAATAGCACTGAGAGATCCTTTCCTTAAGTGTTGAGTGAATCGTTTTATTTCGCTTTATATTGAAGATCATCAACAGGTGGTTTTGTCTGATCAAATTAAACGGCCTCCCAGAGTCAACCAAATAAATTGCAGACATTTTGAACCTATAATCGATTATCTCGGACATGTCCGATTCGGATTGATGGGGGTTAACAGCACAGACTCAGAATTGAACCGAAAAAAAAACATGTAGCAGATTCTAATTGGCTTTCATGAGCTCAATCATGGTTGTTTGTTGTAAACTGGGACACACTGAACACCTTTATAAACAAGACGTTTGTTCAAAACATTTTATACCACGCTAGGATAGGACTGAACCACTGAATCGTTCTAAATTGATTCTATGAAACGAAGAAAAATAAATAAGTGGACTTCCTTATCACTAATTCAAAAGTCTGCAGTCTAGTGTCTGTGTGGTGTAAGTGGGAGGGGCTTAGAGTAGAAGACAGGTGAATCAACTGTCAACAATTCGAACTTGTTTTGCAAGAATGCAGAATGTTTTTGTCAAAAGGAGTCATTTGTTTTTACCTTTTTTCCCCCTTTTTGCAGGAAAACATGCAATAACACTACCTACTAATTAAACATTTGGCATTTAAAGGGACAATGTGTACTTTTTTTTTTGTATTTTATTATTTAAAGCCACACTGTGGAACTCTTCAACCTTTATAAAATATTACCAAAACCGATTGAGAAGGTACTTCGACTTACAATAGGTTGAATGACACGTCTGCCATAGCCTGAAGGTGTCTGTATGGGCTCTATGCACGGCGGTATTTCTGGTGAAGCATTAGGGATGCTCGATAACTTCCGCCGATCGTGGAGTCCAATGCAATACCGAGAATTTATATTGAATTTTATACTCCATGGTTATACTAAAGAAACGTTAGTCACAAAAACAGATAAAACAGACACCCCTTGTTGTGTTTATGCTTCTTTTTAAAATTATATTAAATAAACATAACTATATATAAAATTACATCTAAACGTATGTACGTTTCATTTCAAAGACTGGAGGACAGTAAATTTTGAAGACTCTGCCACAATCCCGTTTTCCTCGGTTTTCCTCCGCTTTAATCTCCACAACCGGAAATGGACGAGCATCCTTGCGTCAAATGCGGAATTTATGCGTGCATATAGCCCATTGCTTTTACTAGCACTTTGTAACTTCGGGTTTCGGGTAGGAACCTGAGCACAAAAAGAACTACAGAATTCGACCGCTTTACGGCATAAGTCACTTCCCCACCACCCACAACTTTCTCAGATTCTGATGTTAGTGCTCAACTTACGTTTGATTGCCGTCTGTGTGTTTTCGTCATGGCCGAACAACAGCTACAAGGAAGAAGGCAACAGTTTTATCAGAGGAAACTAAAAAAAGAAAAGGGGAGAGTGACAAATTAAAAGCCAGGACGAGGATTAACACATTGGTCTAGCTTTCGCTAAAGGAGGAGGAGGGGTGCTCGACCGATGCAGATGCTTGCCTGCACACAAATGCCGTTTTCAAGGTAACCCAGATAAATTCATATAACCAGTGTACAGTATTTTCTGGTATTCCGGCCACAGTCGATGGTGTTATGAGTGTAATAAAATGCCCACAGCCCAGTGTTCATTTTCTACACACAAACACAGCCCGTCTCAGTGCAGGGCTCGCACTAATAAAATCGCCTCATGTCAAATGTAATGTTACATTTAATGTAGTGAACGTGCCCATGACTCAGTAGTATCCACAGACTCTAACGTTACACACCATATGTCCCACGGTTTCTGTAAAAATAAACCAACACATACAGTCAGCTCAGACCGACGATGTTTTCAGTGCAGTGAATGCACCCGCTGTCCCACGTCCACATTCACTCACAGACATGATAAGCCCCACGGGTCTCACCCCACTCGCTCTCTCGCAGCAGACTGATATAAGGGAATCGAGCGCGGCATGGCTGGTCGCCTCAGACACTGCAATCACACACAATCTAAAGACACAGGAGGCTGACCGGTTGACTTTAATTTGGCCTCTAGGGACGCTAGACGTGAAAGTTACAGGTCGAGCACCATCTAGTGGCCAAAAAGTTCCGCAGTGTGCCTTTGTAAATCAATATTTTTATTCATAAATATGTCCTCAAGGGTGTACAAATACCTCTGCCAATTATCTGACTTTTCCTCGTAAACGAATAATTTATTACCTTTAAATTCATGGGACGGGTAGGTCCACAGAGGGTTCCATGTTGTTCTGCCATTTTGAAAAACTATAATAGCAGAGAGGGACAAAAAGTACTAGGCCAACGCATTTCCACAGCGCGTTTTCATTCAGAGCCAGCGTGACGTAATTGAAAGCAGCAGAAATGGAGGAGCAGAGCAGTGAGAGGCGCTTGTCACTGCCCCGGCAAGTTTAAAAGGCTGCATTGCAAATCCTCGTCGACAGAAAAGTCCTAAATAGATCGTAAAAGGAAACGTGACTGGAGATCGTTAATGTCGGGACAGCTTTTTCCAGGTGGATAGAGCTAATACAGGAGAAAGATTTAAAAAAAAGTCCTGCTTTCTTCTCGACACTTAAGTCAATGGTACAGTCTTAATTGCAAACTTTTATTTCATTGTTTAGTTATGTTCTTTATTTTATAGACGGATTAACATTTATAGTTAAAAATTGATGATGATATCTAACAATGCACGTACTTCATAAATTATAATGAATAACGAATAAAGAATAGTTTGTTTTTCACAGTCAGTAATTCATACTGTAACATTCGTTTGCTCGTTGTGTCAAGTTGCTGTTTGTTTGAAATAACAAACACCCGAAGGAACATTCGACGAAGTGCTAATCCTGTCATAGTTTTTGGTACATAATGGCTACCGTAGATGCAACACACATTTGAAAAAGCGAGGCGCAGGAGAGCACCATTCGTTTGAATACCAAATACATTTTCACCGCTGGATGGGAGAAATTCCTACACATTGTCCCATTTAAAACAATCAGATAAACAGGATAAGAATCCTGTCATCCACTAACAATAATATTGCTCACAGCTAATTAATAATGTGCCTTGAAGACCTATAAGTACCTATAATCTTGTAACTTAATGCTTTCCCAGAGAGAGAGAGTTGCACATTCTTAACAGACATTCTCCATGGTGTTCCCATTCATTCAGATCTTCCTTGTTTCCCCTTTATACTGTGGACAGTTTCTGGCTTTGTCTATAGACCTCATTAGCCTAAAGTATCAAGTGTATCAAAATGCACCCTTTTAAAAGTCACCCCGTCCCTGGATTTCACTGTAAAAGTATTTCTGAATTTTAATTTTAACTGAACCCTGTCTTCTCTGTTATGGTTTTAGTCTTAGACTATCTAGTCCAGAGTTTAATACACTGATTTCCTTGAGAAAGACTAGAGCTACTACAGGACTAAATTGAGGCTTAAATTAAACCAATACCAGGAGCCAGATTTAACTTCCGGTTAACGTTGTGTTTCAAAGAAGACGCATGTATTACTTGGAAATATACAGAAATATATATATCAGAATTATTGGCGCCCTTGGCAAATATGAACAAAACATTTACAAAAAACTAACCTTTCATTGAAGCAACACTACTTAAAGGAGAACTCCGGCGAACAATGAACCTTTGGTCTAATAAAACGTCGGTACCTAGTCAACCATTCTCTGAGTTTTGTTTTCATGATAATCAAATGTAAAGAGTTTTATCTCTAAAAACTGTTTAGCCTATAATGCTAGTAATGGGGGCATTGACTAAGTAAAAAGAAATCGCTAGTTTATACCACTAACAAAGCTCAAAATAGCCCCACACTCACACAGTAACATAATGAGGCTCCATACATGCAAAACGTAGCATTGAGAACTTTGTAAGTGTACAGACCGTTTAATAAGAAGATACTTTATGCAGACAGTTCACTTCGCGTATACAGACAGGAGCCATCTTAAAAAATAGTCTCGATAAGTCGATCCCCGAACGCCATTCATACAGTTCAGAAGTTCGTTGAACTTCATAGAGCTCAGATCACTCAGCACGACGTTCGTGGTTCGACTTATCGAGACTATTTTTTAAGATGGCTCCTGTCTGTATACGCGAAGTGAACTGTCTTCATAAAATATCTTCTTATTAAACGGTCTGTATACTTATAAAGTTCTCAATGCTTCGTTTTGTATGTATGGAGCCTCATTATGTTACTGCGTTAGTGTGGGGCTATTTTGAGCCTTGTTAGTGGTATAAACTAGCGATTTCTTTTTACTTAGTCAATTACTAGCATTATACGCTAAACAGTTTTTAGAGATAAAACTCTTTACATTCGATTATCATGAAAACAAATTTCAGAGAACGGTTGACTATGTACCGATGTTTTATTAGACCAAAGGTTCATTGTTCGCCGGAGTTCTCCTTTAAAATGGGGGAAATCATCATATGTTATTTTCTCTAATACACATTGGCCACAATTAAAGGGTTAGTTCACCCAAAAAATGAAAATTCTGTCAGTATTTACTCACCCTCATGTTGTTCCAAACTTCTATGTGTTTATTTGTTCTGCTTAACACAAAGGAAGATATTTGGAATCAAACAGATCTCATTCCCAATTGACGACTAGTATGTGTTTTTTCCTTTTATGGTAGTCGATGGGGAATGAGATCTGTTTGATCGGCTAGTCTTTAACATGTTTGCTCTTAAATATGTTTTGGATTGATCTATTCACTGAAAAGCAAATGCTTTTTTATAAGAGAAATCACAGACAATTGCATGACAGGTGTGATTCAGTTTACAGCACTTCTCATTCATTTCTATGATATCCGCGAAGAGTCGCACAACTCTGAACAACATTCAGTGACATCAAGTCTGTAATGTGTTTGGTTATCAAAGCACACATGATCCAAGTTAGCTTTCTGCAATGTTAGAGCCACGGACACTTGTATCTCCCAATGATAAGACCATTTCTGGCATAGACCTTGATCAGGTGTGTTTAAAGAAGAACTCCGGCAAACAATGAACCTTTGGTCTAATAAAACATCGGTACATAGTCAACCATTCTCTGAGATTTGTTTTCATGATAATCGAATGTTAAGAGTTTTATCTCTAAAAACTGTTTAGCGTATAATGCTAATAATGGGGGCATTGACTAATAAAAAAAAAATCGTTAGTTTATACCACTAACAAGGCTCAAAATAGCCCCACACTAATGCTGTAACATAATGAGGCTCCATACATGCAAAACGAAGCGTTGAGAACTTTGTAAGTGTACAGACCGTTTAATAAGAAGATACTTTATGAAGACAGTTCACTTCGTGTATACAGACAGGATCCATCTTAAAAAAATAGTCTCGATAAGTCACTCAGCACGAATGTCGTGCTGAGTGATCTGAACTGTATGAAGTTCAGCGAACTTCTGAACTGTATGAACGGCTTTCGGGGATCGCTAGTAAACGTACAATAGGACTGCAACGTTTGTGGAATGTGCTTTACTGAGTGGAAAAAGAGTGTGAATTGCTTTTTTGCACATAAACCACACATTTAAGGTTTAGATTTGAATCTGGATACAAATGTAATTGTAATTTAATTGTTAATCCATAGAAAGAATACATATATTTCTTGAAATCTTTATATTTTGTTTACCTTCATTCATTAAAAAGTGTTATGAGTGTTATATTTATTGGCATACACAGCAGTCATACATCATTACAATTCAAGTGTAATTGATTTGTTGAAATTTAGAAGCCATTGTGAGTACACATCATTATTTTTTTAATAAAATAAATGTATTTATTTCTTTAACAACAATATAATACAATATTTATTTTCAATGGTGATTATTAAATATACTACACGTTTGCTGCTGGTAATGCCATGAATGAGTCTTACCTGTTGCAACATTCCCTACTCTGCCTATACTCTTATAAAACAACATTTTTATCAAGACAAAATCTACATTTTGTTCCCAACAAAAGTATTGTTTAGTGTAAAACATGTTGAAGATTAGCAAACAGGCTGTCTGTTCATTAAATGATAAGCTATATCCTCACAAAAGCAATTAATTTGGTGAAGTGAAGCCTCTACGTCATTGATAACCATTAAAAAAAGGCCTCTAGTCTCTTTCCCTGCGTACCGAGCGTTAGCTTTTTTTGGCTAAAGGTTACAGGCTTGCATTTATCGTATCTCCCAATTATAAGACCATTTCTGGGCTGGCATAGTAAGACCTTTATTATTCAGGTGTGTTCAATTGAGCTTGGAGTTAAACACTGCAGGACAATTTGGACATCCCTGATCTAAATCAATCATGCAAATGAAAAAAGTACATTAAAATGCCATGTTGTGTGGTAATCTTCTTTATACTGATTGATCAATATTGGGGTAAAACAAATGTGAGCTTGTAATAATTTCATTCACCAGAGGCTTTTAGATTATATCCTGTGCCTACATACCAAATTGGTAATTAGGTAGTAATCACGCTCAAAATTGAACCGCTTTTTAATAAACAGTCAGATTTGTATATAACCTCTCCGCCTTATTGCTGTGAGTGACAATTTTTTTAAAATGAAAAATGAAATTACTCCCTCCAGGATTTGCATGATGTGTGCAATTAAAAGAATGTTTTTTTTTTTTAAGATGAAAAATTAAAAATAAAGTCAGTCTCTCCTGCTGTCATTAAAAATTGAATATATTAAATATTTCAAACTAAGCTATGATGGACACTTTTTTTTCTTTTTTTTTTCTCAAAATATCCCTTAGGTCAGATTAGATTCCTCAATGAGGCCAACTGGCCACGTTTTTGACGCCCCAGATCTAAAATGGAAAACTAGTTGATTCTAAAATGAAAAGATGAATGTGGAAAAGGCACATTCCAGCGCGTCTGTCTGAAAAGCTTAAGAATAGGAGGGAAACTCTGCTAGCAGCACTGAAGCTGAGGTTATGTAATGCCATCATTCATCATGTTGCTTTGAATTGGCAATGGAACCAAGACAGGTCGTGTTAACCTGCTAGACTTGTTTGTCATTCTTGTGTAAGAGAAAGGAAAGGTTTTTTTCTCAGAAATGAAGGGAGCTTGGTAATTTATGTCTAACTAATTCACTCACAAATGGTATTGTTTGCCCATTGGAGCTTTATATTGTAAGAAGAGGTTGAAAGAACAAAAATGAAATGTTTTACAATTTACAGGGTTTCAAAGTCTCTGTTCTATTATGTTTAGTGACTTATATGAAGTTCAAACAGTTTGCTACAGTATGAAAGTGTTGAAAGTTGATTGATGGCTTGTTTGTGACTAGCTGGGAGGAAGAAAGTCAAAGTCAGTTTATATCTGTTCAGAGATGGGTTTGGTTGAACTCTGTTGATTTCATTTCCTAAATATATCATACTAGAACACCTGTTGACCTGCTGTGGCTGTAGGCCTATATACATGTCAAATAAAATACAGCCTGAAGTTCCTGTTTTTGTTCGCATTTTTGTTCATTAGAAGTATCAGTTTACAGCCTGTAGTCCTCCTGATAGACTTATATGCATAGGTGTAAATGTCATAAATCTGCAGAACAAGGACGTTCTGGAACTTTGGACCCAGTTTACTCATGCAGACATGATTTGAATTGATAAAGGGTATTTGAATCTGTGCTTCAGGTGACAAATAACATTGAGTATGGAACAGTCTGTGTGAATGCCATTATAAGAACAGAACACCCCCCCAAAAAATAATTCTAACATTATTCACTCATTGCAAACTTGCATGACTTTTTTAGTAACTTAAAATATATTTTGAAACATTTTGGTGTTATGCTGTCAACACAACGGACGCCACTGGTAACCAAAACTATTTAGCTACAGTACCAATATTTTTCAAAATATCATCTTTTGTGGTTCATAGAAGAAGGAAATGGATACAGGTTTGGAATGACATGAGGGAGAGTAAGTAATGACCATTTACATTTTTGGGTGACCTATCTCTTTAAGACACTGTGTTGGATCATTCAGACAAGTTATAACTTTACTAAAAGGATTTATAAGAGTGACTCGTTCATTGATATGACGTCATTACTTCTCTCTTGAACTTGTCAAGGAGTGCTTGGTTTTGACTTAAATTTCAATCAGTTTCTTACACATAGATTTATATAGCTTTAAAAGATGTGGAATATAGTGCACGATTCAACCTTTTTTATCATACTTTTATGGTGCTTTCGCATCAGTTTTCATTCATTGTAATTGCATGGAAAAGAGCAACCATTCAGCTTGAGCTACCAATGAGCTGACATGAGGGTGAATAAATGAAGAATAATTTTCATTTTGGGTGCACTATTTTTTTTTGATACAGTTGAGCAAACACCATAACACTGATAAATGTTCTTCATCTTGTAAATAAACATGTTGTTCTGGTTAATGCAATACCGAAACCATATAAAAAGAGAATTTGTTTTTGAAGAGTGGAGAATGCAATATTTGAGGATTTTCTTTTTTTTAATGAGGTTCCATTATAGAAGTACAGAAACCCATGTATTTCTGGTCTTATTGAAGCTTTGTGATTCCCAAAATCTGCTTCTATCCCTGATCAATCCAAATATATGTGGATAAGGAGATTATTATGATCTGATTTTTTTTTTTTTTTTTTTTTTTTGTCTGTTGCACAGCCCTCACACTCAGATGACAGCGTTGGAGTTTGACACATTTCTGATGTCCATCTTTGGGCACTTTGTGTATGTTAGTTTTTAGGCCTCAAATAGCTCACAACAAATCAGGTGGAAACTGACTTTTCAAAGCTTTCATGTGTTTGCATTGAGAGAAGTGGAGAATCTCTCTTCATTAAATTCGATTTTTGATGACTCATTATCAGGTGAAGAGGTGTTTATCTTAGACAAGTTTTCTGTTCAAAATGTCACTTTTTTCATACAGCACCTGTAAATAAAACTGCAAAATAAATAACACCTCGCCTTGTATATTTTCAGAATATACAACAGTTAAAGGCTGTACACACCAAGAGCTGTGACTATAAGATAGCTATAAAAATAACTATATTAGCATCAATACCAATGCATGATAAAAAAATGTGTGTAGTATTAGTGGGCACTGCAGTCATATTGTGTGCCAATTAAAATTCTCGTTCTCTTTAAAGTTGGTTGGATTATGATTGGCTGTCACTGTCATTAAAAAAAAAAAAAACATCTGAAAGTGAGTTCAAAGATATTGATCATAACTTGTCAATCATTATAGTTGTGGTGTGGGCTACTTCTCAAAGAATTCAAGAAATTATTAAAACTTCGTAGGTATAGTTATCGTTAGTCGTGGTTCTTTCTTTAGCTCTGGTCCACGGATTTGGTTGGTTGAGTGGTGTTCCATGGCCGTTTATTACTACAGCTGTCAACTTGTGAGTTTAATATTGTGTTGATGTGAAGGGGGAAAGATTTGTAGATATGAAGTTCTGTCATTTGTTTTAAAACTGAATCCAGATCAACATTTGATGAACATGATCATGATGAACATCTGACACAATCTCCCGCTCCTTCCGTAGAGTGCTGTGTCCAAGTATGGCTCTCAGTTCAAAGGAAACGCTCAACATGACGCTTTGGAGTTTCTGCTCTGGCTCCTGGACAGTGTGCATGAGGATGCCAACCTGTCCACCAACAACAACCACAGTGGCAGAGCCAAATCGTCCAGCAAGGTAACACACCACCATCAGTCCTTCTAAACACTCTTTAAAATATTTTCAAAATCAACTAATTGGTGAGACAATCTAGCAACCAGCATTGTAATTTTACCGCTAAAGGGTTAATATCAAAATTTAAAGAAACTATAAAGACAATTGGCTTTATGCACAGCTGCACTACTTCCTGAATTTCAGCCAGCTCCTTGTTTCCTGTCTGGCATTATTGGACACATTGATTAATTCAGGTGTGCTTGACCTCAGTAGTCACGGCAACAATAATCAGACACACCTGAATTAATCAATTTTGCCCAATAATGGCAGACAGGAGAAAACAAGGAGCTGGCTGAAGTTCAGGAAGTAGTGCAGCTGTGCATAAAGCCCATTACATACTACAAGCCTGTAGAATTCACTAAAGAACTAGTCTAGGAGTTCTCAACTCTGGTCCTTGAGGTCCACTTTTCTGCAGAGTTTGGCTCCAACCCTAATTAAACACACCTGCCTGTAACTTTCTAGTAATCCAGAAGCTGAAATCATAAAAATGCTGCCTTCGGAAGATGCTTTTCAAGGAAGGAAGGCATCAATGCATTTCCAAATTATCCAATGTTAGCTTCACTTCCTGTCTCCTGAGATACCCTCATCTCTTCTGTTTTGGATGGCAACATAGATGTATCCTTCGCTACCTTTGATATCCCACAACCCTGACCCTGATATACCAAACTGACCCTGAAACTTTCATCCGACAAAAAAATTCTGATCAGGTAAATCTTTTTGCGTTTTTCTCATCTTAGCAAGCATTTTGAGAGTTGTTTTGACAATTCAGTGCCACCACACAAGGGAACGCCAACATCCAGAACAATTCAGGATCAACTGGTTCACAGAAATTGGCCATTCTTTATTAAAATATGTGGCTCCAGTATCGCAAGCGAAGCATCAAACTGAGACACTGACATCCTAGAGTAAACTTTGAATCGCTCTGGATAATACAGTACCGCAGCTCCTTGATTAGGAGGTTGAGCTCTCCTTCTTCTCTATGCAATCTCAGGATTGGGTGGACCCAATATTTGCTCTGACAGGATGGCGGATGGCAACAAAATCATCCTCACTGCTTGAAGACTCATTGCATAATAATTAATACGCATCTGGCTTGATATCTGTGCGTGACGAATTTTTAGGATGACGGATACAAAAATATGACAATTTCTGACTCAGTTGATGAATTTCGGACTTGGTTGTATTGTTTTCCTGTTGTCAACATAAGATGATCACCACAGAACCTAAACCTCTGGGTAGGAGAGGATCCCTCTTGTCCTTTGTGTTCATCACCTGCCCCATTAAGGCACATTTTGACAGGATGTAAGGTGGCTCTTTGCCAAGGTCGATTTAATTGGCGCCATGACCAAGTACTGCAATGTTTGGCTTTAGCATTGGAAGGCAGGCGTAACATGACCAATAAGTTGCTACCTGTTCTAGCAAAACATTACACACAGAAGAGAATATTCCTCTGCCCAGGCGAGCAACAACCACCGAGAAAAGGTGTTAACACCAATTCTCGCCCAGGACAACTGGAAGCTGCTAGGGACTGGAAAATGCTGGCTGATATTGATCAACGGTTTATTTTTCCACCTGAGATTGCCACCACTATCCTTCGAACAAATATTGTTTTGTGGTCTGGATCAGCACGTATTGTTCAAGTGATAGAGTTAACTGTGCCATGGGAGGATGCGGTAGATGAGGCATATGAGAGGAAGAAACTGTGGTATGCTCATCTGGCCACTGAAGCAGAACAGCGAGGATGGAGAGTCCAGGTTTATCCAGTGGAAGTGGGTTGTCGAGGATTTGTGGCACACTCTACAACCCGGTTCCTCAGAGATGTCGGATTATGTGTACAAGAGTTGCATTGCACAGTAAACTTATCCGAAGCAGCAAAGAAGAGCAACAAGTGGCTGTGGTTGAGACGGAAAGATTCTGGGGCCTCATTTATAAACGTTGCGTACGCACAAAAGAAAGCCTACGCCGCTCTCTACGCAATAGTTGGTATTTATAAAAAGCAAACTTGATGGTAAAATGTGCGGTCCTTCACGCAAGCTCTGACCCAAGCGTACGCACAAAAACCGGGTGAAATGAGAAATGGCGACACCATCGGCAGTTGGAAAAAACACGTGAAAGTGTGTGAAACTGTAGACAGTTGTGTAAAATAAATGGCAATACTGCCTCTCATAAATAACACAAAGACTTCACAAAGCAAGTCTTACAATTAACAGCCTACATGAACACCCGTTTGATCGATCTGTAACAGAAATGCAAATTAAAAAAAGAAATATGTTCTTCAATAATATTGGCATGTACAAAATATACAAAAGCTGCGCTAAATTTAGAATTGATTGTGATTTATTAAGGGAAAAATACGTAGGATGTGCGTGCGCACGGTTTTATAAATCCGAATATTTCTGTGCGTACGCACGTCCTATGTTTCATCCGTACGCCACTTTTGACGCAAATCCTATGCAAAGTTTTATAAATGAGGCCCCTGGTTGGCTGTGTACAGGACGCAGCACGACGGTTTCGTAAAAATTCTTAAACTCGAATAGAGCCTGTTGGATTATTTGTATAGTTTGCATAGTAATTACGGTTATTACGTTCCTGTGTATATTGCGTGAATGAGGGTTGGTGTTTCAAGGCAGATATTGCGTTTTGCTGTAGGTAGTATGCCATACGGAACCGTTGCCACTGAACCTACTTTAATGAAGACGGTGGGGCTTGACAGCCGTAGTCAAACGGGTTGGCGTGTATGGTTGGGTTGCGGAGAGATTGTGGTTAGGTCACATGTGAACAATGAGGATGGAGCAACCTCAGCAAACGGAGCGATGTTAAGGTCAGTAGGCTGGGCTGAGTAGAGTGGGGGACGGACTGGGGTGACTCTGTTTGAAATTATACTATTTTCTTATATTAAATAGTATTTTTGATCAGTTAATTTAGATGTTGCCATTGTTCGGTGTACAGACCTCTGGTTTGGATAAAGATCAGCATATTAACACATTACACAATTATAATCAAATTTTCTTGGTTATAATTGTTAACTTTTAATGCTTATTTGTGCACCGACATGCATTAAATGATTTGGCTCCCCGTTTGCATTACAGTCCAGTTCACCCAGTTCACTCCCTCATACTATTTTTTTTTTCTTTCATTGAGGCATTGCATCCAAACTACTAGTCATCTCTCTCTAAACAGTGTGTCTACTGAGTCTGAGGTCTCAAACTCAATTAAGCTAATGAGAAGGAAGTTGCAGCCTACACCGCCCCCCCCCCCCCCCCCCCTGCTTGATACATTGCCTGACTGACTAGTTTTTCTGTTTCATTTGTTAACTTTTGTGCTAGAGAGAGGGTGTAGGAGGGAAACATGAGTGGGTGGATTGGTGTGGGGGTGTTGTGAATGTGTTGTAAGGTTCTGTATATTTCAGTAAGACCCTATTATAAGTGTTTATTCTCTTTAGAAATCAATGAGGAATTAGGGAGCGTGGAATGTACTTATTAAAAATTCACTGGGGTGTTTAAAAGAAGGTGCAGGTTTGATAATTGCACATAATCACCCTCTCAGAGTTTGGAGGCTGTTAGAATGCAGTGGATTGTACAGTGTCAGACAGCAGCAGGTCAGCTCAAGTCTGTTTTGGCAGTGAACACACTTCAGCCTTTGTCTGCTGTAGTGGCAGCAAACGAAGACGCCAAGCCTGCATGGTAATGTGGCAGCTCCATCAAGAGCCATTTTTAGACTCGTCACAGAATGGGTCCGTATCTCTGGCCCCATCACATCACGCTCTGATTTCATCCAAACAGAAACACTATTGCCAGCTTAATGAAAACTAGACACTTTCATACCCTGTTATTGCCTACAATTTGACATTTGTATTTTACTCTCGTTTAAATTAGTGAAGCTTCACACTGTGTCTGCGATTGTTGTAAAGGGTATATTTATAGTTTTGGTGTGCATTTTACTTGTGTCTGCATTGCAAGTGATTGGTGTAACAAGAAGTGTGAGCACTTGGATGATTCCACTTTTTCACAATGCGAGGGACTGAGTCTAAGTCAAGACAGAGACCTCAAGAGGGTTGTGTCAGAGTCGTGACCAAGAAATATCGTTTTAGATTCTAGACTGAGTTCGAGTCAAGAACAAGAAATATCGTATTGGATTCAAGACTGAGTCCGGTTGAGAGTACTACAACACTGATATTCACATGTAAAATGTAAAATATTTTAAACATAGTTTCAAATCAATTGTTTCTAGTTAGTAAGAGAGCAAGAGAAATCGAGTAAGAGATGACAGGCCAGTTGTTTTTCCTGGGCTGTTTGTAAAAATATCATTATGATTTACCATGAAAGTGTTCATTTCAGTGGTTAACCTCAAAAGAGTGAGAGTGAGAGTTTACTCAGAGATTTGTCGGTCTATAGCCTGGCTATAGCCTGTGCCTACATGATCACAAGAATCTATATCAGTTTGAAGGAAACATGTATATAAATAGGTGTGACTATCAGAATCTTCCTTGTACTCACTGTTACGAACCTTGAAAGATCAAGGGCAGAAAACGCAATATTTATATATTATCGTACTGCTGAAGGTGAGATGTTGTGGAATAATACATGACGGGCTCTTCTTGAAGGGAAAAATAAACTGGACTTTATTTACAACAAGCCGAAGCCACTGAATCCAGTCAAAGCAACAATAAGGTGTACTATGTACAACACAATTAGGTGAACAAACAAACAATAAAGTATTTTCAATAAAGTACAGTATTTTCAATTTTGATATTTTTCGGTTAAACCGTTGTTGTCTATCAGTCATATAATGGAGATTTAGGGGGTCCACCCTCGGTTCACCTCTTAAAGGAGAACTCCGGCGAACAATGAACCTTTGGTCTAGGGATGGGACGATAACCGGTTTCACTATAAACCGTGATAAAATGTACTGACGGTTAGTATTATCGTTTAAAAATTAATTATCATTAAAACCGTGTTTGATTA